GGTCACTGTGTGAGAGGCGGCCGGGGAACACCTTTTATGTGTGAAGCAGCCATTTTGGATTTTGAATTCAGGTATGACTCATTGTCCTAACTGGACTCTGTGGGGGAGTTCCGGTTGATCTTTCTGACCTGGACCTTTGAAATTCAGACTGAGGACAAATAAAAAGCACCAGAGGTTAAGATGCGGTTGATGTTGCTCCTAGATTTGAGCTTGAACTTCTGAGGTAAATGGACCACATCATCAGAACCAACACATACATTCAGTCACAAATGTATTTATTATAACATGTTTGATGAGTGAGGAAATGATTTAATGATCATCAAGTTCATCGTCTGGGTGGTGGTGAATCAGCAGCCACTTCACACTACTATGCTGATTTTTAAATGGTGTCCAAGTTTGATCTCACATCAAAACACATCATATAAACAACTATAGAAAATGTTTCTGTTCTTCACTGTTCCATATAATAGAGGCAAGATTTTAAACCATTTTATATGTAGTAGACCTATCATTTAAAAATTTTTTTAAAGCTCAAGTGAAAGATTTGATTACACTTCGTATCTTTGATGAATAATACTTTTCTCATCTGCTGGTAGAGCATGCATCACTACAGGATGTGTTAAAGTCAGTTGTTGAAGGAACCTGCTGGCGACTATGGACAGAATCGACTGCTCAGTAAAGTGAAACATCTTAACTGAGAAGTTGCACAATAAAGCGTCAGACGAATTAAATAAGTTGTTTTTCTTGTGGATTAAAAAAAAAACACGAATTACAGAAGAAATAAAAGATCAAAACTCAAAAATTTTGAAAGAAAAACAGGAAAAATGAAAACCATGTATGAAAGATCTACACTTCTTATTGCATGATTCTGTTTGTGGTGTTTATACAGAGACTCAGTTCAAACAGATCCTCCTTTCTGTCTGATGTGGAAATATTCATAGTATTTTGTTGCCATCTGCTGTTTAAAAGCTGCAAAACAACCACAATGAGCCAGAGCATTAAAGCAATTCATCAATCAACATGTGCTTTGATTGAAAACCTGATATAATATATAAATCATGCGTGATAAAAGAATATGCCTTTTTTAAACACTCACAACTCATTGCTAGGAGTGTGATCAGGTGGTATACATCTACTCGAAAAACAAAACTGCAGTACTCCTAAATATAAATTAAAACATTTTTTTTTATTCTTAGAAAACATGGCTTTATGCATAAATAAAAGAGCTAAGAAGGTTCCACTCAATATTCTGTACATTTAATGTAACATTTTGTTTCACAGCCTGACTTTCATCCAGCATCTTCTGACAGCTCCTCTTGTCTAAACACTGGGTTGATATGAAAAGCCAGTGTCTGATGGTGACGTTTCTTACGTCTGGATGTTCCACGCACCAAAATGGAAGTCAGCATGTCACTTATTTTACAAATTATGCTCACAACGTGCACGGACGGAGGGCATTTCCAATATCCCCTCTATGCTGCACAACGAGGGACAAAAAAAAAGTAAGACTGTTTTCCAAAAAAAAAAAAAAAAAGGTACTGTGATCACTAAATGAGACTAAAATTAAGTTTTTGGGCCATCAAGGACAATGACACGTCTGCCACAAACATCTCGTTCTGAGAACACATCCCCACAGTGAAGCACGGTGGTGGCTGCCTCATGCTGTTGGGATGCGTTTCAACTCGCAGGGACTGGGGAAACCGGTCGGTGTTGAACGATGGAGTGAAATGTAGAAATATTCTTTAAGGGAAATTCACTAAAGTTTTCCAGAGATTTGAGACCGAGGTCCCCCTTCCTGCAGGACAAACAGGACTGCTGATAACACTTTAGAGGTTTAAGGACAAATGTCTTCAGATGAGAATTATTGTGAGTTTGGACCTGTGTGTGGCTCCATCTTTTAAATAAATGTGTAAATCTGTCTAAAGTGTTGTTTCCAACATTTATGATGCGCTTCTTGACCAGTTTATTCATTTGATAGCATGAATGACTAAACAGACTAAAGAGATTTTTTTTTTTTATCACATTTCTAATTTCCCACAATCATTTAAACCATTACGTGGCACTGATTGTCACATTTTACAACATTCAACTCACAGTCAATGGTTTATGACATTCACAAAGCTCATACCTGTGGAGAACTTCACATGTTCCAGTCATTCTACTGGTGGTTCTCACATCAGGCTCACCAGCACAAAAGCAGCACACAGCTAAAGTTGGTATGTTGGGATTAAATAATAATAATAATAATTACAGCTGATGGTGGGAGCCTGCAAAAGAGAGGCAATAAATGCTAAAAGCTATTTCTTCACAACGGTAAAGAGAAACTTGACTTGGGGAAGTCTTCAAACCTAAATTTCGTTTGTTTTTTAATCAAGCAGCACAACTGCCCCATGAATAAATATGTAAACATGAGCTAAAACATATTAGGAAATCAAGAAATCACAGCTGCACATTACAAAAAACTTATCGTTATTTTGAACACAAGACTGTTTCTGACCTTTCGTCGTCTTAATTTTATTGTTGGACAAACTGATATCTGACGCACCAGGCCTGACTGACACGAAACACATGGAGCTACAACGAGCTCTGAACGTGAGCAGCTTCTTCAAATCCCACGTGATGAATCAGAGGCTTGACCAAACAGATCAGTGAAATTGGAGGGGGCAGAACAAATGATGAGAGGGTCTATGTCCATCAGGGAGGACAGTTACTAAGAACAAGAGTCCCCGATAACAAATGACCAAGGTTCCTTAGAGGCTTACACTCCTGCAGCTGATTCTCCTCCTGTAATTATCCCACACCGTGTGATGAACAAACCTGAGCGAGCACATCCAGGTGCTGCTGATCAAATGTTTTAATTAACCCATCAGCCAGTGTGAGCGTCTCTGCGAGAGCAGACGTTTTGCTCAGTCAGGTGTGCGTTAACACGATGCCGACAAAGATCAACCAAAATCTTGCAAAGTTGTATTTTAACAACAAGAACAAAAATGATAAGATATACCAACTGCAGCAGGGTGGAACGGTTGGTAAAGCTGTCGCCTCTCAGCGAGAAGGTTGCTGGATCAAACTTTTTTGGGTGGAGTTTCCTCCCTTAGGCCCGTCACGATGATACATTTTGCTGGGCGATTTATTGTCTCAGAAATTATTGTGATAAACGATAATATTGTTTGAAATCTGATATTAGTAATTATTGTTAAATTTAAGAAGAAAATATTAATTTCTTGTGTGTAGTACCTTTTTCAGCCACTGGATGGCAGTATAAGACTGAACTGAAGGATGGATAGTGAGGGAGCAAGCAGCGTGTCTTTTAAGAAAAATGGGAGGGAGGTCCCAAATGGTGGATGCTCAGTGTGTTTTGAGCTTTTTAGCATAGCATTTTTCACACAAAGCTTTTAATAAAAAAAATCAGTAAAGAAGTTCTCAGCTGCTTCTTGCAGAGAAAAACAACAGGAAGGCACAGGTTTCAACCATGAATTTTGGAGCTTCGACAAGACGGAGCCCCCCCCCCCCCCCGAGGTCAGCCTGTTAGCTTAGCTCGTAGCTTAGCTGCTTTTAACGAGCCAAAAATGTGATTTTGGACGGTTAAAACAGATTTTAAAGAGAAAAGAGAAAGGGAGGAGTCAGTGAAGAGCACTGGAGTTGAGCCTTTTGTCATCCAGTCGTCAGTAGAAAAGAGACATGAAGAAACGATAACGCCGATAAATGAAAACGAGGTCGATAATTTTCATTCATCACGCAATTAATTGATTTGTTTATCGCGACAGGCCTACTCTCACAGACCAAAAACATGCATGTTAGGCTGATTAGCAACTCTAAATTGTCCCTAGGTGTGAGTGAGAAAGTGAATGGTCGTTTGTCTCCATGTGTCCCTGTGATGGACTGGAGACCTGTCCAAGGTGTCCCCCGCCTCTCACACAGGGACTGCTGGATATGGACAATGGGCACCAGTGACCTGGAAAGGAAGGAGCAGGTAAAGATAATAAAAAAACTTCTCAAAGTACGCCATTAGGCTGATATTTGATGTTTAGTCAATGTACAGCAACACGTGTTGAAAAATCTAACAGCTTATCAGCACAATCACTAGTTGTCCGGCACGGTGTGATGGTTTGGGACTTTATTTGCAGCTGCGGGACCGGAGCACGGTGCAGCCATTCTAGCTACAAACTTCTGTGGGATTAAAGCAATCTAAAATCAGAGATGAGGCCTTAAGGCAGCTGTAGCTGGGCTGAAACCAGTTCATTTGACAAAACAATGGTCCAGTGAGGAACAGAGAGTCCAATGACCCAGTTCGCGGACACGGGGAACCCCTTGGGTTGGGTACACTGGGTTTTTGTTTGCACCCAGTGCCTTTACAGGTTTCATAAAGGGGGAGTGTGTGGGTCTTTGAAAGGGAGTTTGTTCTGATTTGGATCAACTCCAAAAGTTAATCAAGTGCTATTTGGTAAAATGGTCAAATTTGTCCCCGATAATTTAACTTTAATTTAACTTGTATCTATTATCAAAGGAAATCTGGTTTTCCACAAAGACTTTTTGAAAAGACGATTGTTAAAGTGAAACGTGAGGTGTGGAATTAAAATATTCAACCAGTGCTTGTTCTAGTGCACCACTTCAGAAAACTTCTCATCCAGGATGTAAACTGGCCGACTTGAACTAAATTCACACGTTGACGGAAGAGCCAAAAACAAACAAGACAACAGCACAATCATAATTAAGGCACTTAAATAAGATTTTAAATAAAGCTAAAAAATCAAACTAGCATTACAGCCATTTCTCAGTTTACCTCATTAAAGGAACTGTATTGGGTTTTACAAAACAAATAAAAATAAAAGAGTCTTGGGGAATTTGGGGATATTCTCAGGTGGTTTAGCCTCACAGCACTCCTTCAACTGGGACAATTTAAACAGATTTAATCCCTAAAAACTTCCATATTACAGATTATCTGTTAAAGAGCCTTAAATTGAATTACACATCATTTCTTCATTTATAAAATCTAAGTCGTCGTGAACTCCCAAATAAATCTTCACTGGACAGTTAAAGTGCTTCAAAGGCTTAAATTAAACAGTGCTCATTATTTAATTTATTTTTTTTGTTGTAAAACCCACTTTACTATAAAAGTACTGAGTACTTTTGAATATTTTGTGATCTAAAACGTGTCCGTTCTGCCGCAGTGCGTGTCTGAGCCATAACAGTCTCTTAAAAACAAACAAAAACAAAAATAGATCATTTGCCACAAAATGCTACTTTTCTAGCCTAATGGGTTTCGTTTGATTTAAATGCTAATTAAAGGCAGTTTGAAGAGCAGGTGACTTGAGGTGATGCGTTCAGGCTCATCGTGTTCCTCCTCTCGTCTGATTGGTCGACGGCTTCCTCCAAAGCGGCTGCAGGTTGGTCACGCTCTTGTTCCACGCCGTCACGTTGGTCTACAGCTTGCGCTCTCCTCTGACGATGCTCTGGTAGATCTGGTCCGTCAGGGAGACGTAGCTCTTCTGTTGGTAGTCCAACACGTAGAGCAGGTCGGAGATGGTCGAGGGGTTGAAGCCGCTCTGCACCAGCTGGAACTTCTGCTGCTTGAAGGTGCTCGTCGTCTCCATCACCTCCTGAGGGGAGCAACAAGAACACATGGTGGTGTCGGGGTGAAGAAAGAGTGTTGTGCTGCGAGTACTAAACAGGAACGTGAGGTTAAACCCTCCAAGAGAAGTACAGCTGGGTCCAAGTCGCCTCTGAGACACAAGGAGCACAACGGAACACACAACACTCAGTTCTGTATGCGTCTTGTTTTGGGCTCTTTCTAACAACAGAAAAGAAAAATGAAATGAAAAACAAGACGCGCTTGCTCGTGGGAAGCCTCTAAAGTAGCAAGTTCTGGTTTCAGGTAAGAGTTCCTCACTGGTAGCTCCCCTATAACATTTAAAAATAAATGGTATTTTGTGTTGTTCAGTTTAAAAAAGGTATCTGACTATTGTTATGAAAAACAACAAATGAATTGCTTTGAAATAATTTGACCTCAATATTTGGCTAAATAACCTCTCCCTGTTCATGATCCTGGTCAGTCTGGTGGCTTGTTGCAGAGAGTGGTGAAGGCTGCACAGAAGTCTGCTGGAGTCAGCCTCCCCACCTTCACAGACATCTACACCTCCAGATGCAGGAAGAGGGCCACCTGCATCATGAAGGACCACACTCACCCAGCACACACACTTTTTGCCCCGCTCCCCTCAGGAAGGAGGTTGAGGAGCATTAAGTGTAGAACCACTAGACTGAGGAACAGCTTCTACCCTGAGGCTGTTAGACTCATGAATCTCTAACCAGAATAATCACTGTGAAGAATCACATCATGTTGCTGCTGATCTGTTTCATGTTGCTGCTGATCCGTTTCATGTTGCTGCTGATCTGTTTCATGTTGCTGCTGATCTGTTTCATGTTGCTTCTGATCCGTTTCATGTTGCTGCTGATCTGTTTCATGTTGCTTCTGATCTGTTTCATGTTGCTGCTGATCTGTTTCATGTTGCTGCTGATCTGTTTCATGTTGCTGTGTTCATGCGTGCTCATCTGCTCACACAGACTCATGTTCCTGCTGCTGTTTGGCGTAATGTTTTTATGCTATTAGTGCTTAGCGTATATTTAGTTGATGTTTTTCTTAGTTCATATCTTAGATTTTATTACCGTTTTTCTTTTACATTTTATTGTTGGATGTAACTGGGACCCTGTTTTCATAAATTTGCTCCCCCACATGTACCACATGAGGTGCGAATGACAGAGAAACCGACTCTGGCTTGTTGTGTGAATGTTTATCAATCACTCAGATTAATGACGTCCATTTTATTCCATATGTTTACCAGCACAATGTTTGTGCCATTTCAACAGTTCGTAGATCTAAATGTTCAGCTCCTTCAGGACATTTCTTCAATGACTTCTGATATTCGTGCAATTATTAATATTTAGAAATATTTAGCTGTTCCAGCCATGTTGTTCTCATTGTAAATGACTGGAGCTCTTCAAACCTTTGTGCTGTTTAAAACCTTTTACTGCTCATTTCAGCTTTTGTTCCGGTTCAGCTTTTTTCAGCTCCTTTAAGCTTCTTTCTGCTCATTTCAGCTTTTTTAAACTATTCTGCTCCTCGCAGCTTCTGTTAAATTCATATTTTTCCTGCCTTTTCAGGCAGTTTTCAGTTAATTTTAACTTATTTTTGCTCAGTTCCACCTTTTGTGATTCTTTCAAATCATTTCAACGTTTTATTTTTTAAGCTGTTTTTGGTTCATTTTTGTGTGTGCTCATTTTAGTTTAATTTTTTTTGTAATATATTCTGCCTCTCTCTGTTCATTTCAGCTTTTTCCACACATTTCAGCTGTTTTCAGCTTTCCAAGTTTATTCCCTGCAAAGGTCAGCTGGTCAACTTCAGCTGCAGTAACAGTTTAGCTATGAAACATCTTTAGCTGGTTTCAACTTCTTCAGCAGCTTTCAGCAAAAATTATGCAATAAGCATCCACGCTGAGTTTTCTCAGGAAATGCCATTTTAACCTGTTTGTTGAACGTTTCAAATATGAACCTTTTGGCTTTCTGTACCTCCACCTCTCCCCCTGCTGCCATTTATAATCACCAGATGGCAGCAGTGCAACTCTAATTTTACTTTCATATGTATTTGTACACTGTAAAGTACTGTGATATAGGAAAAACTAAGGGAAAGTATGAGAGTAGTTTGTTAAAAAAAATAACCTGACTGACATGCTGAAGAAGAAGAGGTGGTCAACATTTCTCTACATGAAACATCATACAGATGAGTTATTGCTGCTTTAGATGAATCATCATGTGGATAAACATTCTTTGCCGCCTCCCAGGTGGACATTTGCTCGACTCTTTACCCCGCTTCCCTTTATCATTTTAACTTTATTGAGTTTTACTAAAGTCACAGTTTAGTTTGCACCCTCTTTGGATCAGCCATACAAAGGACACCAGCACCAAAACAACACTAGATGAGTAATTCTACACACAAACCATGTAAAACCTGTTAAAAGTTACTATTTGGCTCTGAAATGTTTCATCCAACTATAAATGTGCCCATAGCTTCAAGTTCAACCTTACATCCTCCATATTTTGTTAATCTTTTTCAAATATTAAGAAAAATTAACATTACATTGAAGGTATTGCCTACAGGAAGTAATATTTAATACTTTATGTATATGAAAAAATATGGGATTAAAAACTATACAGTAGGTTATGAAAATGTGCACCCCCTTGGATTTCTCTCTGTTATTGTCTATGACCATAAAAAAAGAGTTTGTTTTTATCAACACATGTCCAGAACTGTAAAGATGCAACAGATAATTTTATGGTGAAACATTTTTTTTTTTTTTAGTTTTTGTCCATTCTTTGTGACAAAACTGCTTCAGTGTTGTCACATTGGATGTGTGCAACGATATTTAATCAACCCAGTTGGATTAGGTTCTGGGCTCTGACATTTAATGGTCTTTCTTTAAACCACTGAAGTGTTTCTTCAGCAGAGGGATTAGGGTCGTTGCCCTGCTGGAAGGTGCACCTCCATCTCAGACTCAAACCTCTGAAAGACTCAAAACAGTTTTCCTCAAGAGTTTCACTGTAATTTAAACCATCCATCTTTCCGTCAACTGATCAGTTTTAGTCCCTGTCAATTAAAAACATTACAGCATGATGCTGCCACCACCGTGCTTCACTGTGGGGTTGGTCTCAGCATGATGAGTGATAAGTGGTTTGTGCCAAACATGTTGTCATTGATGGCCTAAAACAGGGCTATTCCACTGGTGGCCCGTGGGCCATTTCCGGCCCTCGAGTGACTTCAATCTGGCCCACTTCATTTATTTTTTTTTTAGTTCTGGGTTTGGGGTTCTGTTTATTGCATTTATGATTCAATGCAATAAAATAAACAAATTTAAAAGGCAACAGATCATTGTAAACTTTGGTTTATTTACATAATGACTTTAACCGCTGGATGTCCGGCCCCCGAGCTGCTGGCTTTCAGAAACTGTGGCCCCCCCTGAGCAGTTTTGTTGAACAGCCCTGTCCTAAAACATCAGTTTTAGTCCCCATCTGTTTAAAACAGCTTCTTCCACGTGTTCGGAGAAGATATTCCAATTAATCTGCCTTTTCTTTGACAAACGGCCCGGTCCATGGAGCTACAGACAGACACTCCCCTCACTGCCCAACAACTGTCCAGAGCCACCAGGGTCCACAGGTGTGACTTATTCATCTCAATAGCATCTAAAGGTTACAGTGAGTACATATGCATGCACCACCTTCAGTTTTTTATGTTTTAATTACTTGAATTAAGTTTTTTTTTTACTCATTTAAATGCACTGATAGCATTTTGAGTCATTCCATTATGACGGTTTATTGTTGTCGTTGTTGTCATCACCCTTTGTTAAAAAAAAATTCAGGTCCTTCTTGTAAATGAGTCTCCAAGGCTCAATGGGATTAACCTGTATAAATAAAGTTTGAATGAATAACTGATAATAAAATTTAAAATATTAAAAAGGTATAATCTAAGTTGTGAGGCAACAAAATAAAAACATTACCAAGCCACAGTCTTTTTTTTAATAAAAACCTCTAATCAGACTGGGTCTCGTGTCTGAACAATGAAATTTTACTTATTTCTGCCCTTCAATGATCCATGAATTCGTTTGTCTTGAATATCTCAGAAGAGACAACAAAGCAAAACACGGGGTAAAAGCGCTGCACACCTAAATGTCTGGTGCAGCTTAATGACGAGTCTCCGTCTGTCTGATTGTTACCTGAAGCCTCACGAAGAGCGGGCGAGCGTACGCTGGTAGATCCCTCACCGCATGCTCGAACAGTTTTCTCCCATCGAACGAGGAACCAGGTCTTACGATCATGGCCACCATTCCTGCTCGGCCCTCATGCCCTGAGAAGCAGACTGGTCAGTCTCACCTGTGTTTTCACTCCACTGCTTAAAGTTAGTGGGTTCATCAGCATGCATGCTGTTCAAAAAAGGCTAAATTAACCTGAAATAATCAATGAGGTCAGTGTACGGTGCAATCAGAAAGATGATAAAGAGTTGCAGCAGCTGTTTTGTTGCTGATGTAGAAGTTCTTGGAAAGCAAAGATGGGCTCGATACCTGGTACTTCCACTCTGTACACGTTGACTTCCTGAATAAAATCCACCTGCCCAAGCGTCTCTGCTACCTCTGTGGTTGCAACATTTTCACCTTTCCACCTGGAATGGGTAGAAGAAAGAATCGGAATGATTTACAGAGTGGTAAGATCTGCAGAAGATTCAAATCTGGTCAGAACACTTTCATAGTTAGTAACACAGGGCTAATAGTTAAAACACTTACACCTTCATCACTCCGTGTCTGTCCTTTAATGACTTTTTAACCTGCTGCCAAAAGGTAAACGCAGGAGATGATAGTGGGTGTGTCTGTCAGCAAAATATCTCATGAGCCACTGGACACATTTTTAAGAGCTTTGTAGAAACAAACACCTGACGTGCGTCGACAACTGACAAACTTTTGGAGCCAATTCAAGATGGCCGCCACAAAAAAGCTGAACTTTAAAAATCACAAAAAACAAGCTTCAGCGCAGTCAGTTTTACAGATGCTGAGCTAAACTTGAGCATGGTAGTAGCTGAGAGTCATCCACGACACATGTGATGGCGACAGCTCACATTCTGGTACGAGACGACGTGTGGCGATATTTTCAAGGTTTAATCAAAAAGTTAAAGACGCGTTAATGTGACATAAAAAGCAGTGGGTGATAAACATTCACGTGATGCTAGGCCTTTTATTCTAAAATAATTCATAGAAATGTTTTGAACCTGTTAAATGATTCTTTTTTTCATTGAGCAAGCTGCTTTTTAAATTACCAGTAGTTTACTTGTGTGCAAATAATAAACCATTTAACATAAACTCAACATGTTAAAAATAAACAATAAAAACATGAAGAAATCATTTCACTCCTGAAGTCTTGTAACTTGAACAGTTCCTTATGGGAAACAAACTGACCGGATCAGTGATTTAACGGCTTAAATTATTATTATTTTAATTCACAAGAAACTAGTCAATATTTTAGATCCGTCTCATCCTGAAATATAAAAATCTAAAAACTTTTGTTTTTTCAATTTAAACTCTTTAAGGGTCTTTTGTAAATGCTGCTGGAACAGGATCCAGGAACTCTCTTATTTTGTCAGGGTGCGTTCCGGTAACTGTTTGCTAGGATCCGGTAGCTCTCTGGCTTACTCCGAATAAAAAATTATGAACAAATACGACTGCCTTGAACAAATAAAACTTATAATGGATATGTACACTGAAAATAATTACACTAATTTTAAACACAACAGCCACGACGCTTCTCTTCAAGTGAAGCCCTTAAAGAAACCTCCGCCCCGAGAAGAGTGGTGTGGGTGAGTGACGAGCAGGAGCTCACAAGCAGCCGGCTGCAGGTTCACATGTGGAGTCGGACAACGAGCAAGGACAGAGTCCGAGTCCGACTTACTTGACGGTTTCGTCAAATAAGGAGGAGGATGCTTGACAGAAGCAAACTGTTTATAAATGTAGATAAATGTAGATAAATGTAGATGTTTAACAAGCCATTAAAATACACCAAAATGCAGGAAATCGCATCTTCTTTGTTAAAAAATGTCTGGGGGAGAACCCGCAGACTCCTCCCCCTCTGCTATTTGCATTCTGGCATCAATCGGTTTACAAATTAAGCCCTGGGTAAAGGTTATGGATATTTATCACTTACTAATGTTAAATTATTGTGTACGAGTTAGAGAGTTGTTTTGACTGCTAAGAGAGGAGCCTGCAGGCACACGGAGACGCGTAACTCCAAGGCCTTCTCCGAGTCAGTAAGCTGGAAAGCCAAGGTCATCTTGACCTTGACTCTGTCTGATCAGCATGTACTGTATTAAAGCTCATCCTGCCTCACTGTCCGATGCAGACCTCGCGACCGGAGCTTCAATGTAAGCTCTGTGTAAGCCTGGGTATGAACGCTGTCCTTGCAAGTACTGTATTTTTAGACCTAGAAGTCACAGTTTTTTGCATAATTTACATGCCCTGCGACTTAATAGGCCGAAACGATATATTTATGGATTTTTTCCCATATTTATAAACCAAAGTTTGGTTGAGATATGACCATTTTCATTCATTCTGACTGAAAAAATAATAATTTTTTTAAATTGAGCAATACCACTTTCAGCCAGTAGATGGCAGCAGATTAGTAGTAGTAGTAGTAGTAGTAGTAGTAGTAGTAGTAGTAGTAGTAGT